TTAAAAAAAAACATATTATAGAGGCACCAAAGCAAAGCTCTTATAAAATAATCAAAATAGCCTATCCAATTATAGATAAAATGTTAACTCTTCAGCTGACCGTATTTTTGCCTCCATTTTAATATTTAATATTTACTAATATAGTGCACATGCCTTGCAGGCAAGCATGTCTATTTTGTTTTATTTTTTCAAAACTTTTTTGTTGGCTACGAAATACTCAAATGACTTGTATAGCAATATAAATTCTAAAACAATTACAATCTTTTAAATGAATAAATTGTACAATAAAATTGTATATAAAGAACTGAAAATTGTAATTAACTATAGGTTAAAAGGTTACTTTAGGAAATACAATTTAGGAGAGAAACCGAATTGTTGATTAGTTACAATTCTTCAACTAACTAATTTCAATTTAGCATAATCCTCTACCGTGGTTTTGCTCATGTGCTTTCAACTAGAACTTCTAATTTTGATTGCTGAAGGAAATTAGTTAATTGCTTACATTCACTAGTATCCACAGATTCATTCTGATGTCTTGGTCATTTACTCGGTGGTAGGTAGCTTTGTTCTGTTTGTCCATGGGAGGAATCAACCGCACTTTCCATAGTTCAAAGAAAGATAAAGGCAACGACTCATCCTATTTCCCTAGTAATTTAGCTAATTTTTGCTAGTCTTATTTGTCCTCTTGATTAATTATCTTTTATATATTGTTTATAAAAGGCAACGACGCATCCTATTCTCCAAAATTTCTCGTGAAGAGGCGCTATGAAAGGTATCCCCATCTTTTTCCTTTTAATCTTTTTTTAATTATATAGAACATTATGATATGCTCATTGTTCTTTGCCTCTATAAAGGTATTGGATGATGATTAAAAGACTCTAAAGTAATTATGTCATGTGATGAGAAAGGAAAAAAGCAACACAGTGGTTGTGTTTAGGATAGAAATCAATTAGAAGAGAATTTTGAAAGACTAAAATACCCTTTCTTATTTTAGCTCATTTGTTATTTTTATCAATTTAAAAATTAAAAAAAAGCCTATTTTTGGAGCACCGAAGCAAACCTCTTATTATAATTTGGATAGTTGTTATAATTTATTTATTATTTATTAAAATAATTATAATATATTAAATGATTTATTCTTTTTTTAAATACAATAATATTATACATGACATAATTATAATACTATTAGTAACAACATTTTAATTTCATAATTAGTTTATTACACTATTAGTAAGTTATTTTCTAAATCGTATAATTATTAAATTACAATGCAATTTATTAATTTAAAAATTACTATTAAAATCATTATACTATTGATACTATTACAAGTACAATAAATACAAATTGTTTTTCATACTATTATCAAACTTTTAAAAGGTTAATAAGATGAAGTGTAACAAGTAGTCCTCCGTGAGACTAAGATGTGAAAAGGCATAAGACATAAGCCTAATGAATTTTTATTAATTTTAAATTTTCTAGAATTTTAAATATTATGTGAAGACAAATTAGGAATAAATTTCAGATATTCTATTAAATAACATAATAAAATAATAAAATAATTGTGTGACCAAAAGTTTTGAGAAAAATGAGGAAGTGCATAATTAATACGAGGTTATATATAATTAGTGAATGATTAATTATAACCTAATGACATATTTGAGAATTATCAAACATAAAAGGACAAAAATAGAAATCAAAAGTTTTGACAAGACAATCCTCTTTTATATGTATATGTAGTATAGATTAATTTTAAGTTTATGCTATATTGTTTCTTGTTGTGATATTTGAATTGTGTTTTCTTAATTTTTTAGCTTTAAATTATTATTGTCGATCGAGCTTCATGTATTGTCAAATTTGCATAACTTATCAGCTTTTAAATTAATTTTCTTAACTATTTAGCTTTCATTTTGAGTTTTCTTACCTTGCTGGGATAGTGCATTTGTTTTAAGCTAAATCATTTGTATAGCTAAATTTACAACGGATAACTTTTTTTAAAATCAACAAAATGGAAGCAATGATCTTAATTTATATCAATCTTGACTTTATTTGCTCATTCGTGACCACCCCACCTCCCCTCTACACACACGCACAAAAAAAAAACAAAAAAAACATAATATTTTATATCAAAAAGGATTAGCGGCGCAGCTTGTTGCCCGCTTGTCATCATCACTTGTGTAATATTTTTTTTTTTGCAAAATAAATAAATAATAGTAATTTTAAAAATATAGAATAAAAAAAACAAAAAAACAAAAAAACAAAACACTACTGACGAACCATTCTAGACTCCTCCCTACTTAGAGGAAGAGAAAATTTTATTTTTGATAAATAGGCCGGCCTTTGCCTCAGGAGTGTTTCTGTAAAAATAAACGAGAGGAGTACTAAGTTTGAGAGAATAATGCTACGAGGGTCTGTTTGTAATTCATTAAACTTATAGGTGAAGCCACATGCGTTTTTCTTCACAGAAAACTTGCACAATTATTGCTCTCTTACTCAGAAGTATTTCTATAAGGGTTTTTCTATAGAGTGCTCATGGGCACTCTATAGAAGATGAGAGAGATAGAGAGAGATGATTGAGGAGGGGACCCACCTGATTTGTATTGGGATCCCCTCCCTAATCATCTCTTTCTATCTCTCTCTTCTCTTATAGAGTGCCCATGAGCACTCTATAGAAAAACCCAAATAAAACTAGAGAGGAGCATCGTTAGGAGTAAAAAAGGGTTAATTTCGCTTTATCCCCTGAACTTTGGGAGTTGTCGCATATAGTCCTCCTACGCTTTGTTTGTCTTACATATTTTTTTTTTCAAACTTTGAGGTATCTCACAATCCCCCACCCCCTTTTGAAGTGCCTCCCAATTCCCCATCCAACCCGCAAACCAAAAATAAATAAATAAATAAATAAACTTTTCTTGCTGGGCCTTCCTACATGTATTTCGAAATTAACTAAATTTTTTTTGAGAACTTTTTTTAAAATTTTTTGTCATTGTTCATGTACAGGCAATATACCACACCCCTCGCCCCCTTAATTTTTCATCCCCCCTCTCAATGCAACTTTATTTATTTGCAAATTATACATAGGCGAGTACAATGAGAAAAGTTCAAAGGGATCTTGTGAGACACCACAAAATTTAAGGGGTTATATGAAGTAAACAAATTAGTTTAGGAGGACTAAGGACCACTCTCATATTACTAGAGCTTATAATATTAAATTGCTTATAAAAGCAGCTTATAGAAGCAAATTATATAAGCTATTGAAAATAGCCGTTTGATAATCAAATATAAAAAACTACTTAAAAAACAGTTAAGTGTTGTTTAGCAGAAATATGATTAATGATTATTGTTAAAAAATAAAAGATATTTATGACATATAAACTGAAAAAAGCAAACGCTGCTTTTAAAAACATGTTCAAATTGCTTCGAGAAGTACCCCTTTAAGGTAGAAGCAATTTTAATAGCATGCAAATTTTTTTCACCAAATACCCTTATTGTCTGCTTATTGAAAAGAACAAGCCGAAGCACCCTAAAAATAAAATAATACCAAACTAGCCCTAACCCCCCAAAGTTTGGGTGTGGGTGGGGGTGATGTGAAAATTATCCCAAACAAAAGAACGCTCGAGGATAATTTTCCGTGTTGTGCCAAGAAATTAGGGTCCGTTTGTTTTGATTTTTTTGAAGAGGAAAGCCTGCCAAAACTGTTAGTTTTGACAGGCTTTCTTACAAAAATGCCTTTTTTAGAGACGTTTTTGCAAGAAAGCCTGTCAAAACTGACAGTTTTCGTCAGTTTTGACAGCTTTCACACCACTTTCTTCTTCAAAAAATCAAAACAAACGGGCCCTTAATCATTCAAGCGGAGCCCCAATCCTTAACAAAGTTAAGAAAAAGTAGACCCAATTCCATTAGGATGCAAGTTTCCTAAATGATACGTCTCCATAATCAATTGTAGGAATCCCAATCCTAACGCAGCACCGAGTCGGAGCCAGAGCCCAGACTACGACTCTAGAGTCCATATTCCTAATCCCACGTGAAACACGAGACCGCATGTCTCCCCCAATTAAATGGCTCGGAATCTGGGGTCCGAACCCCACAAGGATTCCGTCTCGAGTCCAATCTCCAGTCAGAACTACGGGCAAACTTGGCTCCCTTCAAATACAAACTAACCAACAAAAGGACCGACACCCGGACAAACTTCAAACATGACCCCACAAAACAGCACCGCCAACGATCTCCCATGCACCTGCTGCAAGAGGAAGTTCAGTACGCATCAGGCCCTCGGCGCGCACCAAAAGGCGCACGAGATCAAGCAGATCATTCTGCAAAAGAAGCAACCTTGGAGCAGAGCTCGGCGCAGCCACGTCGGCCTGTGCACGTCGTGCATGGGCGGATCGGCGTTTGGCCGCCAGGTGACCTCCGCAATTGAGCAGGCGTATCTCATGAGGCTCCGGCAGTTGGCTGTGCTGCGACGTAAGAACCACTCCGAGGAGCCCGGTAACGACGATGCGGCAGTAGCCGGAGTCGGATGGTTCAGTGTCATCATCATCATCATCGGAGCCGAAGGAACGCGGTTTCCTACCATTGTTTTGTTGAACTATTTTTCGTTTTTTCACGAAGTACTATATATTTCTTAGTGGTTTTGGTTTTACTCTAAAAATGCATACACCGATTGTATTAGTAGGACCACTGGCTTTTATGGATTAATAAAGCTGAATTACTTCTTTGTACTTTAGTCAAAATTCTTTTTTTTTTTTGCCAGTGAAACGGTTAATTTACTGCTTTCTGTACCTGATATTTGGACGAATTGCTCGTGAACTAGATAGAAATGACGAAAATTTGAAGTTACGAAGACAATCAATTTCGGTCAATTATAGTTGGGCCGTTGCATCAGCCGATAAAGCCCACCGGTTTCACTGGGGTCGCTCGCACGTGCGTATCACGTGCTGAAGGCCAGCGCTTACATGGAGTTCGGGCATCTCAATCTTCATCTTCATCCTTAAGAATAAAAAAAAAAGAAAAAGAAAAAAAATTCCGATTTAAGACAATACGATAAAAAAAAAATGACTTCCGCAGTCTCTCCAAATCCCCTCTCATTTTTCCCGCCAAAAAGACTCAAACCCTTGAACAAGCCCATCTTCGCCTCTTCGACGCAGGGATCATCGCCGACGGACGATGAGCCCGGGCCCACATCGGACCTAACGAAGCTGGCCCTAGCCAAGGCCGAGGCTTACAAGAAAGCCAAGAGCTCTGCTCCGGTTCCGGTCACCGACGGTGACGATAAGGGAAATGACGATCCTGTTAAGTTCGCCATGGAGAGAGCTAAAGAGTATAAGAAGAGCAAAGGGCAAATTAAAAATTCTGGTAATTTCTGTGTTTTTTTAAAATTTGGTGAATGTTTATCATTTATTTTATGCGATTTTCTTATGTTCACTGTCCCCTTTAGTTTGAGCCACTCATTATACAGTAATTACACAATAGGAGTATAAAACTATAAATATTGAAAATCACACTTAAATATAACCTCAGAAGGTAGGTAAGATAAAAAAAAGCTTTAATCTTTATGAACTATCCATACAAAAGCTTTAATCTTGATCCTCAGATGAGTTTCTCTTTCCAGTCTTCCAGCTAATTAAACAAACATAAACTTCTGCATTTATATATGCTGATTTTGCTAATTGGGTACCTTCTGCTACTTCTATATATTTCCAAACAATATCCCTTTGAAACAACATGCAACAGTTCCCAGTGAGCTATGTATATTTTACAGTAGGGGTATAATTCACCACACCTTTAGCGGATTCTACACCTACTGTTACATAGCTCACTGGAACTGTAGCATGTTGTTGCGCAAAGATATTGTTTGGAAATATATAGAGGTAGAAGAGGATACCCACTTAGCAAAATCTGCATATATAAATGCAGAAGTTTAGGGTGTGTTTGGATTTCAACGGGGTTAATGGAAGTTAAGAGAAACTAGGTGAGAGAATGAAAGGGAAGGGAATGGAGTTCCCTTCCCCTTGTTTACACCCCAATTTGGGGGTAACAAATTTTATACTATTAGGGGGGTGAACAAAGGGGAACTAGAGTGAATAACTTCACCTCCTAAATGTTCCCAAACAAGGTGAATGGTTCCCCTAACTTCCCTTCACCCTTATTCCCCTCAATCCAAACAAGCCCTTAGGTTTCCGTGAGATAAAAGATGAGAATTAGTTGTGAACTCACTTGATTCTTTACTTCCTAGAATAATATACCAATAGCAATTAGTTTGTGGACCCCTTTAAAACAATTTGAGATCAGGGGCCACAACTGTGGACCCCCCTCCCCCGTTGGAAATTCGTGCTAAATACATGCAAATACGCAACGGAAGACTGTATGTATAATAATACTAAGCATGTAGAGAGCATGAAAAACAAGATAGGACCATCCTAATTAAATCTAACATGATCCCTATATTAAAGAGAACATACAAGAGTTAGAAAGTCATACTTTCGAAGCGTGATTCGATGGAAGATCGAATAATTCCTAGCTCTTGCTCCCTGTAATAGTAAATCTCTTCGTAGTGGATCTCCAAGTCTTCAAATGAGCTTGATAAAATCGGAGTCTTCTTGAGACACAAGACAAGATATCCACCCCGGGTACTTTAAAATCCTACTACTTCCTTTTACTCAAAGATTGTTAAAGTTTAGTAAGAGGTAGATCTCTCGTCTTTTCTTTTATGGAAAGCAACTATGAATAAACCATTTATTTTATTTTTACATTAACCATGAAAGAAGAAAGAGAGCTCATATTTATAGAGGAAGAATATGTCATGACATGAATGACTCTGAATATATCATGACATGAATGACTCATTCTATGAGTCACACCATGAGTCATCAAAACAATGATTCTCTCATGAGTCATGCAATGACTCATCTCACAATGATTCTCTCATGAGTCATGCAATGACTCATCTCATGAGTCATGCAATGAATCATGAAGAATCAAAATTATGTGCTAAAACCATGTTTCCAAACCATACCACCTTAATGACTCATCTCATGACCCATTAATCAAGGTATAATGAAGTACATATTTCATAAATAAAAATACCACATCAATACGATATTTCATAAATATGATATTTTGTAACTTTACAATCATTGACCAATAAGTCATCATATGACCAAAAAAGTCAACTAGTTGACTAAAAGTTAACTTTATGGAAAAAATACTGGAATTCATTTCCTAAGCACATAGCATTCCGATTTTACCGATATACATAACTGTTTATGTGTATCCGGTAAAATCATATATGCGTATTAATCATACGCATCACTCTATAAATAGTGTTTCATAGGATTTAAGTACGCGTTTGGTGTGACTCTAGGGACTAACTTAAGAACTCGGTAATGGATGATATCCACAAGTACAACAGAGGTGCTAGCTACACATGAAAACTATCCGGATATAAGTTATGATAAATATCTGTAAGATGCTAACATAATTTTATCAGGACCACTCAGTGATAATACCGTATAGTCCGGTCTCTTCATCAAACCATGTCAAACTATTGAGACTAGGGTATGGAAAACTGTCAAACCCTAATTGCTCAATTAGTGTTTGTTGATATTAAACTCATAACCTATAAGATCAAACTGACACCCAGTTTATCTTATTTACCTCGGCTAAGGATTTTCAGGTTATAGTTATATCAAACAATCTTATGACATCAACCCCCTATACTAGGAGAGAAGAATCTCATCTTGGTATCTTAATATCTACTTATGCCTCGGGATGTACCCAACAAGAACCCAATTCGATGAGAACTGTGGTTAGGTAAAAGTCTAAGTATACCTATACTGACATGTAAGATATTGCACTCATGCCTCAGGTCATGAGACTACTTTGTACTATATCACTTGAGAACTTCTGTTTGACAGTTAAGTATAATTACCAACTAGATGTTCTCGGTGAGTCGTTCAGTCAACTCATTCACTAATGAGTCACCTGTATACTGTATCTTGATGTCTTACATCAATGATCTAAGAGATGGATCATCATCCTTCCGAAGGAGAAATAGAGTATATACTAGTCTTCCCAAAGTGATGATGTCCCATTTCAACACTTCATCGACTAGGAACATTTTAGAATATACGTTAGCGACTAATCAGATCTCTTCATTACGATCATATTCGAAATGTCTGATAGTCTAGTATCATTCTAAGGACTTTATCTGTATTAAAATACCAGATAAATCTGATCAAAATAGCATACTATCATTTTGAACAAGGATGTTATATTCATATAGGTCCTGTTATAATATACAATTATTGTCTGCAGGGCACCTATATCTAACACCCCCAGGCCGTATGCGCAGACTCGTCCCTGCATATAGTTAAACCCACTTCTTACGTCCAAATTTTTTTTATTTGGTGTGTTTGAGGAAGGTTATAGATGAGGATGATCAACTAATAAGGGGAATTCATATTTATGGAATCTTTTATGTACTAATAAGAGTGTCAATATTGTGTTCATTAATGTCCAGATGGGTTACTTCCAAAATTTTGACGCTGTAGAGGACTATGTTTTATGTGTACATGCAAATACGTGCATTTACTCAACAACGCAACCAATCAGCCAGTTTAATGTAATTTATTTGGAATTTTAATTGACATGGTATTAAGTCAAGATCCTTCGTGCCAAGTGTTGATACTTGATAGTGTAACTGAAAGGTGGTAGTATATTGATATAATATAATGGTTTCATATGTCGTCGGGAGGTCTGAATAGCCTGAAGCATTCAAAAAGTTTCCACGTGTCTTTAGTGTCGGCCACATCAAACAGCTAAAATATGAAAACCCTGGTCTCTGGTTAGTTTTGTAGTTTAGCAATGAATTTGCTGTGTTTGCATGGTGTATCTTAAGTCTGAGTTGAACAATTCATCTTTCTAGTTTCCAGTTTAACTTTCTTCTCACCAGTGTAGCTAATAATTTAGAAATCTTCTATTAATTAGAAAACCCAAAACATAAAATTTCATTTAACCTTTTCTCCACTTATTCATTCACCACAATCGGAAACACAAATTCATGTTCATTTTAAATCCTATGTCCAGAGGATATGAAGGTAACAAAGGAGAGCTTACTAACCAACAAGGTTAAAAAGAAAGGAGAGCCAAACCTTTCGAGCATTGATTTTGTGGGGTTTGAGTTCTCTGAGAAGAAGAGATATAGAGGGTTGCCCCCAGGATTGGCTCCCCCTACCGAACCTCTTTTGGATGGACAACTTCCTGAGGTAGAGCTTATTGTGGGGGATGCCAGCAAGTTGGAGGTTACAACACCAGAACAGAAGAATTCAGAGTTGGATTCTGATAACATAGATGAATACAAGCCAAAGGTCTCTACATGGGGAGTCTTTCCAAGGCCAAGCAACATTTCTAAGACGGTAATGCATATCTATCTTTGCTAGTGAATCTTTAATCTTATTGATTTATTGCTAGCTTTTTTCCCTTTTAGTTGATTTGGAATTAATGATCATGTTTCTAAAAGTATTGGTTAAGACTCCTTGTGCAAGGATTTCATGCTGGTTTTGACCATATGTTAATGTCTACAAATGAAACAAATCTAGTTATGTTTTTCCTTTTAAATTCTCTTAAGCAAATTTATGTTTATTTACTGACCTGTACAGCATTTCCTAAATCTTCAGTCCTGGTTATGGATTAAGGGCAAAAGAGGCACGCACTTAATCCGAGCATGTTTCTGTATCAGGAAATAGTAGCCACCTAATTGTGTCTGAGAATGAATATTTATACCAGTGCTTTAACTCTACATAACAAGTCTAGCACTCTCTTGTTATATGTAATGAATGTTAATGCTAGTGCTTTACCTCCATGTGTCTGAGAATGAATAGTTATGCTAGTGCTTTTGATGGGGACATCCGGACACATACACGGGATTTTCGCCGAGTTTATCAGCGAAGGAGACGTCATGTTGCAGCACTATGGTTTTGATTTCAATTGTAATAAATTAGTTTGAAATTTAAATTTTTGAATTTCAAATTTTCGAATTTTGAATTTGGTAGCTAATTAGTTAATTGGTTGTATTTTGGTTAAGAGAGAGATTTGAGGGATTTAGAGGATTTTCCAAATCTGTAATTTTGCTTTATTTAAACTCTCCTGTAATCAGTTTGGAAAATCATTGAAGATGAATGAAATTGATTTGCTTAATCATGGTGTGAAACCCTAAGCTAATTGAAATTTTTTTGTCAGCCGTCATTCTCTTCCTCACAAAAAAAAATAAAAAATAAAATCCAAAATCGCTACTGTTCATCTTCTCCTCCAAGCAAACAACCCCAAACCCACAACGACCTCCAGAAGGCCGACGGCCTTCCCCTCCGACGCCAATCCTCGAGCTCCTCGTCCAGTCCCGCCCAGTCAGCACCGCCGCCTGGACCGCCGCTCACTCCGATCCGAGCGCCGTCCATCCCGACTCAAGCGCCGTCCTCATTCGTCGAGCGTCGATTCGTTCCTGCTCCCCCTTTTCCGCTTGTCCTCAGATCCAGATCCTATTGAAGACTATTTGGCTTGAGTGATTTAAAGCAGAGTCCCTATTCACTCAACCAACCCATTTGATTTGAGTCAAGTGTGGACCAGACCCACTTGACCCAATCCGGAGTTGTTGAAGCTAGTTGAGTCAGATTCAACCATTTGATCCCTGATTTTACAATTGATGGTGTATGGCAGATCCTGATGCAGATGACGGAATCGTGCTAGATCCAGAGACCGGCATCGCAGATTTACAGCTTTCCCCGTGGTTTGATTATCAGTCATTCGAGAGCGTGCCCGAGTACGTTGAGCGTGTGACTCATCAGATCGTTGACAGCGTAGAGAGTAGTTTGGGAATCAGTTCGTGGCATCGGCGTTTCCATCCAGATACACCACTCCATCCGAATTACGCCGCCCTCGGTGGAGAGCTTCCACCCCTCATATTTGGCGTCGTTGAACCACCTCCAGAGGATCCTCCCGTCGAACCAGTTCAACCCGACGAAGGTTCAACTTTCTTTCGCCCAATTATTTTCGGAACTGCTATTGCTTGCATGTTGTTATCAATATTACTATCGATCGTATTTGTGCTGTAATCAGTTTGACTAAGTGAGCGAGCGAATCTGTTGCTAAGTATTTTTACTTATCCAAATATTACACTTTGAACTGTATTGAGAGAACGAATCATTACATTTATTTTCTGGATCATTTACAAAGATTTGAACTTAGTACATTGCAACTTTTGCTTAAAACCCATCAAAAGCTACACTTTATTCTTGAGCTTCCTGCCTAGATCGATCGCTGATTTGGCGAAGCATTGCTGTTGTTAATCTTCATACCTACATCACATTGTTTCGCATCATTTTTGGTATCAGAGCACCTGGTTCTAGGTTAGGAAATTTGTGAGTCTTTATTATTAAAAAAAATATTAGTCATCTCGTTTAATTTTTGTGCACCCACTCATTTCATTGCATTTAGTGCATGCCCACTCGTACCGGTCTATCCTATCGCTTAGGAGAGTCAAGTGGGTCTACTAGTGAGTCCAGTATGTCAGGCAGCAGCGATCCCGAACTCTATAAGAAACTCGATGAGCTAGCAGGACAATTAGGTGCCGTAGTCCAGGGTTTAGCAAATCTCCGAAACGAAACCAACGAAAAGTTTGCTAGGCTCGAAGAAGCTCGTGTGGCAACCCCGCCACCGCAAGGTCAAGGTTATGAACACTTCGCCCCGCCGCTGCAAGGTCAAGGCTATGTGGCAACCCCGCCACCGCAAGGTCAAGGTTATGAACACTTCGCCCCGCCGCTGCAAGGTCAAGGCTATAGCAACATCGTTCAACGACCCCCACATCAACCAGTACCTGATCCGGATGCGCAATACCTGAGGAGTATTAAGATCAACGCCCCAACCTTTGACGGCAAGCTCGACCCACAAGCTTTCTTGGACTGGCTGAAGAGCATGTATCGTTATTTTGATTGGTACGTCCTGACGGAACCCCGAAAGGTCAAATTCGCCGCTATGAAACTTACCGGACCTGCTTGCCAATATTGGACCAACCTCGAAACGTTGAGGCACATTAGAGGTGAGTTACCGATTACAACTTGGCGAGAAATGACCAACGAACTTAAACAGAAATACCTTCCGCCATCCTTTTATCATCGGTTGTTAGATAAGTGGCATCGCCTCACTCAAGGAACCAAATCTGCGAAAGACTACGTCGCACAATTTGACGAACTGTTCACTCGATGCAACACTATTGAACAAGAGGCGCCAATGAAAGTCTTGTCGAAGTTTAGAGCTGGATTGAGAAATGATCTGCAAACCGAACTCTTTGCTCGGGGAGTAGACACCCTTGAAAAAGCCTACGCGTTAGTTCGGGATCTAGATGAATCAAAATCCCATCAATCTTATAGGAGTCAGGATTTTAGAAATCATTCTTCCCAACCTTCCCGTGCCACTACTTCTAGTCATCCTCCGAGTCGATCTAACCCCAGTTCTTCCCAGTCTAAAGTCGATTCCAAAGGCAAGGAACCGGAGAGAGATTTCTCTAAGATTGGCGCTCATGTCAAGTGCTACAAATGCCAAGGGTATGGGCATGTTTCTGCGAACTGTCCGACCCGTCACAAGGTGACTATCATCGATGGTCAACACGAATATGAACCTGAACCTGATAATGATGAGTTTGTCCATCAAATTGACGATGATACCGATGATTTCGATGATGATGCTGATGATACTATCTTGAGTTGCCTTAGACAAATTGAAACTCCTACTGTATCAGTTGTCAGATGCGCCATCTCTTAACCCAAGGCTGTTGATGATTGGAGACGTACTTCTATTTTCCATACGTTCACAAAGATTGGTGATAAAAATTATAAAGTGATCGTGGACAGTGGAAGTTGCATTAACGCGGTCTCCTCAGCTGTGATCGCTAAGCTTGGTCTCAAGGTTGTACCCCATCCTAATCCATACAAGGTATCATGGATTAACGACACCGCCCTCAATGTCCAAGAGAGATGCCTAGTCCCTCTTCAATTTGCCATTTATAAGGACAAGGTTTGGTGCGATGTTCTGAGTCAGGTTATTCTTGGAAGGCCTTGGTTATTCGATAACGATGTGCATATTTTCGGGCGATCCAACATGCTATTGTTTGAGCATGACGGAAAAAAGGTCAAGATCCTTCCCGTTCAGCCGAAAGGAAGTGACAAGAAGCCCGATCCAAACAAGTCTTCCCAAGGCGTTAACCTGATTGGAGCTAAAGAGATTGATCGCGAACTGGCCAACGGAACTCCTATTTTTGCCCTCGCTGCTAGAGAAGCTCCGAAGGATATTTCTAACGTGGTTCCCCCAGAAGTCGCTACTGTGTTGGACGAATTTTCTGACGTCTTCCCTGAAGACCTCCCGGACCAATTACCCCCGATGCGTGATATCCAACACGCAATTGATTTAGTCCCGGGAGCATCCCTTCCCAATTTGCCTCACTATCGGATGAATCCCAATAAGCATGCAGAGTTGAAGAGGCAAGTTGATGAGCTATTGAAGAAGGGCTTTGTGAAAGAAAGCATGAGCCCTTGTGTGGTTCCCGCATTACTGACGCCAAAGAAAGACGGAACATGGCGTATGTGTGTGGATAGCCGTGCGATTAACAAGATCACGGTGAAATACCGTTTCCCCATTCCACGGTTGGATGATATGCTTGACCTTATGTCTGGAGCCACTATCTTTTCCAGGATTGATTTAAAGAGTGGTTACCATCTGATTCGCATCCGTCCCGGTGATGAATGGAAGACCGCTTTTAAGACCAAAGATGGATTGTACGAATGGATGGTCATGCCCTTTGGGTTGACTAATGCTCCGAGCACCTTTATGAGAGTGATGACTCAAGTACTCCGCCCCTTCACTGGAAAATTTTTGGTTGTGTACTTTGACGATATCCTTATTTACAGTAACTCTCGTGAGCAGCACGTGGACCATCTGCGTCAAGTCTGTGCCGTGTTGAGAAAAGAGCAACTTTATGCTAATCCTAAGAAATGTACTTTTCTTACACAGCAAGTTATTTTTCTAGGATTCGTGGTCTCGTCTGAAGGAGTATCCGCTGACCCTGAAAAAGTCAGAGCTATTAAAGAATGGCCCGAACCCAAGAGCATTAGAGACGTTCGAAGTTTTCACGGACTCGCTACTTTTTATCGTCGGTTTATCAAAGGCTTCAATACCATCATGGCCCCTATTACCGATTGCTTGAAGAAAGGTGAGTTTGAGTGGTCAAAGGCTGCTACCAAGGCATTTGAAGAGATCAAGCAAAGGATGTTGCAGGCTCCTGTTATGCGCCTGCCCGATTTTTCTAAAGTATTCGAAATTGCGTGCGATGCCTCTGGTATTGGTATAGGTGGAGTCCTATCTCAAGAAG